GATCTAATTTTGGGCAACCAAGGAGCCACATGGATATGAGTTTTGTGATATTATTTTTGGTAGGTGATATGCGATAAATATATGAACTGTATATGGTTCCACATTGATTGATCAATTGAAAATTGTTTTAATTTATGTATAAATCTAAGACGTACTTAAGAAAATATCATGATAGCTAATCCAGATCTGGATCAAGATGTTGACATATTCTCTAGATCCAACTGCATTGTTTATGTACACTCACAGTTATATATTGAATATAACTAACGAGTGGACCATCGAGATTTTTACTACTTCTATAAGTAAACACAAAGGTTGATGTCCAAATTGTACGGATTGTTTGATACGTGTGGTGAAATTGTGAACAGATAATATAAATGGTACGTATAACTTGTGAATTGGTTTTTATCAAAAAAAAAAACTTGTGAATTGGTCTCTGACAAGACGAGTATATAATTAATTAACCAATTTGTAAATAGAGTTAATCCGAACCCTCTGTGTCGGCGGGAGTCATAAATAACTGGGCTTTTGATTATTTGAAATTGGGCATAAATTATATATTTCTCTTCTTCTTGGGTCTTAAACGAACTGAAGGAAGTTTAGTTTAGGTTACAAAGATGATCGTTTGTACGAATTAAGTCAAAGTGGATGTAGATTATTGTACAAAATGGAGAGGCCTTGAGATGCAGATTATGTGATCGCCCAACTGCCAAACCAAAATGCTTTGTGGACAACAACAAAAAAGAAGGCTTGGAGCAGTAGAGAGAGTGAAGGCCAATAGTGAGATCGTAACACTGGTCTATGTGAAGTCATTGCATGATGAAAATGCTTTTATATCATATCAGATTATGAACTTTCATAACCATGCTTTTATGAAATCAAATTATCTGAACTTTAATAACCATGTCTTTATGAATTCAAAACTTATAAAATGAAAAATACGCCGAAACAAATATAGAAAATTTAATGATTTAGTCAATTAGCGACTTCATAAGACAGTATAGCCGGTTGAGACTGCTTAAGGGAAACGCTTAAAAGAGTCTAGCTCTGCTTATTAACGGACACACCTACTTCCAACATCTAGTTAATAATCTTGGGATATCTATCGCGGTCCAGCGCCTCTACGCCGTATAAACGGGCGATTGGATCGATGTCTTCTAGAACACTGATTATTAGGCGTTATAAAGCCAAGACGGAGACAGCAAAAATTTAATATTATAGGAACGGTAACACCAAGGAGAACGCAGAATGCGAATTCTATGTCCATGCATGCCGCCGATTTATAGATTGTTGCCTCCATGTCATCCATGTCATAGCACACATCTGACTCGTCACTTGCGAATACTTTGACAACAATCTACACATAATATATAACAATAATTGTCAATTACTACATTATTCATTACTATTATGCAAAGGATTTGATTAATTTGTATCATCACCTCATCATAAATCTGAGGATCACAAGTCGACGTAGCCTTCACAGTGGCTATTCCAGGACTCTTTGCCTGGATAACCCCATCAGACGACAGAGCCACAATCCTCGAATTTGTG